AGATGAAATCATATTTACGTTCATCACATAATTTACAAATAATAGACATAAATATAGTTGTCACTTTATCAAGTACTTCAAGTTAACTTATTCAATTTTTGTTGAAGTCACAAACGTATTCTTGTAAATTATGTGATGAACGTAAATATGATTTCATCTGTTTTAACTTGTTATAATCAAATAATTGACATAAATATAGCTGTTACTTTATCAAGTACTTCAAGTTAACTTATTTAATTTTTGTTGAAGTCACAAACGTATTCTTGTAAATTATGTGATGAACGTAAATATGATTTCATCTGTTTTAACTTGTTATAATCAAATTATTGACATAAATATAGCTGTTACTTTATCAAGTACTTCAAGTTAACTTATTTAATTTTTTGAATTTCTATGTCATCCTTCTGCTTGTTTCAATTCTGTTATATTGCATTCTTTTTTGTGTTCTTAACTGTATACCGTGTGGTTTTACGTCAGTAGATTAGAGTTAGTCTTGATATATGAATAACATAATATTTAGAAAAACATAATCCCATAGGCAATGCCGTGTAAGTTCTTGTTTAACAATTTGATTATTAGTTACAAGCAAGGTAACACATTCTAAGTAAGTTATCTAACATTAACGATCTTTTCATCTATAACCAAATTGTTTCAACTTTGAGATGTTCATCTCTTCAAAAGTCATAGTTCTGATCCTTATATGGATGTTTGAAACTACCTCAAAAACATGTTATGTGATATAGATAAGGTTTTTCGCTCCTTAAAAACATATTTTACATTAAAAATAAACTAGCTTATTGCTGTGTTTACTTTCCATTCGATTTTGAGGTGGTGATATCAATCTAATGAAATCTAAATAATTTAATAGAAAGCTGTATGTATCAATAGTAGCAGATTTATTTCAAACTATAACTAATACTGTGAGGTCAATTTTGATTTGTCTCGCAGTAGCTTGTGTGAGATAAAATTAGCCAATGAGATTTGTCTCTTTGATACTATGAGAGTACGGGATGGCGTACGTAATATTAAATATGATTTTTCAATATGCATGTCAGCAAGTCACGTGACAACCATCGCCGATATAAAGTCGCAGGGGAAATGTATGATTCGTAACTACATTCTGACTTTACTTAGTCTTTTGTAAGTAGTGTGATACCACCGAAACTTATATGTTTTGTAGGTAGTGTGATACCACCGAAACTTGAGTGTTTTGTAGGTAGTGTGATACCACCGAAACTTGGGGGTTTTGTAGGTAGTGGGATACCACCGAAACTTGAGTGTTTTGTAGGTAGTGTGATACCACCGCAACTTGAGTGTTTTGTAGGTAGTGTGATACCACCGAAACTTGAGTGTTTTGTAGGTAGTGTGATACCACCGAAACTTCAGTGTTTTGTAGGTAGTGTGATACCACCGAAACTTGAATGTTTTGTAGGTAGTGTGATACCACCGAAACTTGAGTGTTTTGTAGGTAATATGATACCACCGAAATTTGAGTGTTTTGTAGATAGTGTGATACCACCGAAACTTGAGTGTTTTGTAGGTAGTGTGATACCACCGAAACTTGAGTGTTTTGTACGTAGTGTGATACCACCAAAACTTGAGTGTTTTGTACGTAGTGTGATACCACCGAAACTTGAATGTTTTGTAGGTAGGGTGATACCACCGAAACTTGAATGTTTTGTAGGTAGTGTGATACCACCGAAACTTGAATGTTTTGTAGGTAGGGTGATACCACCGAAACTTGAATGTTTTGTAGGTAGTGTGATACCACCGAAACTTGAGTGTTTTGTAAGTAGTGTGATACCACCGAAACTTGGGGGTTTTGTACGTAGTGTGATACCACCGAAACTTGATCGCTTTTGGGAAGGGTAGGTTACAACCCTTTTCGATGCAAAATATTCATAAACTCGGATCATAGAACTGTGTTAAGATAAGTAATTTAGAATTTCTTGTATTTACTTGTAATTAGGAAACAAAATGATATAGATCAACTTAGGGTACTAGGACTACCACCAAAAATGTACTGTAGCTTGGTATACAACTTGTAACGTATTCTAACAGATGACAGCCCATGAACACAAATGTTAATGGAAACAGTATGCTACATAATCAAGAAGGAGTTCCGTCTGGAAAAGGACGCAAGTCACATCTATACTAGGTGCTTCCATGACACATTCGTTCAAGTCTCGCAAACCTGAAGCAGCTGGAGATTGAAACAGGTGTTCACCCTGTTTCACACGGAGCCACACGGTCAAGTCGCCGGATGCATCGCTCATGGATTTTTGTACGATCGGAATGTTGAAACAGGCACTGGGAAACCATCGTTCGTGTTGAATTATGTGCTTTGGACATGAAAGCTTTTGGACGGAGCCCTTTCCAAATTACGCTGTAGAGTTTTTGTTAAGATTCACGGTCGTCAGATAAACCATGCTCGGACGTGGCGAAGTTAACTTTAACGTACTGATTAGGCTCCAACAGCTTTTTTAATGAACGTAATCAACCCACCGATGACACTATTAAAAAAAGAAGCAAAGATAACATGGTAAACAACCTAATGAACAAAATTGACACTAACAAATCCAACAACAGTACATTACACTGCAGTTTACCTTTTGTTCCTGAAACCAGCTCAAGAATTATCCACACTTGGACCAAACTAGCCAGTAAACACAATATTCCTGTAACAACGTCAAATTCTCACAAAAACCCGGCCCTAAATTAAAATCGTTACTAAACAAAAATTATTTAGAATCACACAATACCAACGCCATTTACAAAATAACATGCAATAACTGCC